TAGGCTCCCAAAGCCTGGGAGCCAAAGGACTAAAAGTTAGGGCAGAAAGGACGGCCTGGGGCCAAAGAAGAGATTAGCGAGGTGAGATCTGAGGGATCTCAACCCCGCCTAGATGAAGAGAACGCAAGTATAAAACCCAGGCCGCTGACGGAGGGACAGGATGGAGAATCATCCGACTAACAATACGTTCCAGTTTCCAGTTGCTAACAGTGATTCCGCTTGTGTTTTTAATGCCTATTTAGTTCGTATCGTTTGAGTGCTTGATGTTTGGAACCCGTTTTAAAGTGTTCTAAAATGCGTTGTAATTGGTTTGATTACCCAAGTTTGAGTTTGAGGTTCCTGTTACTCACCCTTATCCGTGTTTCTGAAATAAACTTATAAAACCCAAAAGACCCGCGTGGCAGCAACAGACAATAATAGCAAACTAATCGAACGTACCAACCAAAGACAAGGAAAAAATTATTTATACATATCGTTGTTCGGTGAAGCAGATAGTCTGCCTAGAATTTGTTTTAAAATTAATTAATTTGGTTTGCTTTTGTGATACGTTTTCAAAACCTACGCTCCTGCGAATCTGCCTTAGACTACTAGACCAGTCTCTCCGCTTCTAAAATCTGGTAAGATGTGTTCTTATGTGAAACAGTACTCTTAATTTTACAAAATTAAAGCTGAGCAACAGGTCTTTAAAGCATAGTTAGCAAAATGTTAAAACTCAGTTTTTCCATACTTCAAGAAATTCTAATTAGTGTTTAACAACTTCAAGAAAACTGTTTTTCTTAAACAGTCGATCGGACTCCATCATCTGCCAAAGTTAAACAAGGGTTAAGAAGAAGTCGACCAGAAAAAATTTTGGAGTTAGATGCGCTATAATTATAATGTGTTTTATGTTGGCGAACGGTAACAGTTGCGAAGTGCTATGCTCGACAGACTTTTTGTTGTTAAAGCATAAGTCAATGTGCGTTTGGAGAATATTGAAAGATCAAAGTGTAAATCCAGTACTAAAGCGTTCCAGCTGGCAGCGCTCTTTCACTCTAAAATCTCTAAAAATTGCATCCAAAAAAGGGAAGCTGTTTACGCCACGGGCTTGTCATGGCACACCTGTAAACCCGTCAATCAAGCTTGAAACAGACGATCTGGTTAAGTATCTATAGGCTTGTCCCAATAACGAGTCTGACAGACCGACAGCACTGTTACATTTTCAAACACCTGATTCAGCCCTGGCTCAAAATGTGATACTCCAGCGCATCAGTGTCAATAACGTTCGCATTTCCAAAGCTTGTAACTGAGTACATATAAATCTTTTGTGCGGGATATTGGGTTGGTACTGAGGTTATAGCGGAAGCAGAAATCCGTAACATGATGCATTTTAAAACCTCATGCTTATATAGTTTTTACTTTACCAGAAATTACGGTAACGGATTACACTCATAGCAGGAGGGTTCAGGGAATGGTTGCTGTTGAACGACAACTCTTCAATTAAGGTGAGAAACTGACCAAAAATAATCAAGTAAAGAGTTAAAAAATGAAATTTCAGCATATAATGTCAGGAAGTATACAATAGCGTTTGCGAAAATTAAACTAGAAGGCTGAGGAAATTGATGCAACCCTTTATCGATTCAATAAATTATACACACCTTGAAATACAGGGTGCCCCAAAACAATGCCCTTGCTTAACAACTTACATATATCAGGAACTATGACATACAAACAACGTCTTCTCCTTTCACATTTAGCTGACGCCTTCAGGTTGTTGTACACAGGTGCAAACCTAGTAATTTTTGATTTTTATTTTCTTCTTTGCCGGAAAAGTATCTAGACGATACTTCAACCATACTTACGTGTTAGTCCACATTGCTGAAGAGATAAGTACTGTGGCGTTAGTGACTCCGCACAGCAATACTGCGACGTCGTGTTAAATACTTTCTGTTACTTCGTTTGCTGTACGGCTCACTAGATTTCTTTTTTTGGGCCTTACGTTAAAGGCCAGGTTATCAAACATCAATGAAAAAAACTGCAGTATTGCAGTGCAGAAATGCTGACATTCACAACATCGAAACTTTACAACGAAATGCTCATCAACCCGTGAGTGGAATCGAAATATCAACAGAAAATTCTTCAGGCATTGAAAAGGCCACATACTAAAATTTATTGGTTGCCTATGTATAAAAACTTGAAGATGTTATCTGACCACTTAAATAAAAGATGTGTTCGTGCGTCATACTTTTTAGCTCACGCATGTCTTTGATTGGAGAGAGTGTTCTGGAAGACCCTGTATATCAATCACATTACTTTTATCACGCATTGCCACTTTTCCGCGAGTCAAAGAGAGCCTTTTCCCTGTATAAGGTCTTTCGCGACAGCGAGCTACGAGGTTAATCAAAAATATCTCTTTTTCTTATCTCTAAGTCAAAAGTTGTTTACGCTTAATGCCTAACATTGCTTGCACAGGAAAGACCTGTCCTTTATGCTATATGCTAATGTTAGTATATAAAGCATTTCCTCTAATCGGACTTATTTTTTGCTTATAATGACCGGCGCCAAATTTCTGTATACCGGATGTAGAACGCCGATCACTACTGTATCACTATTCCGCTTGCTTTTATACAGTTAGTTTAATAAAATTATTAGCTACGGCGTAGTTGTTTTGACCTTCCACTAGTGTTCATCATCCTCCTATACCACTCTTAAGGGAAACCATCTAAAAACTTATATACAACTTTTTTCCCTATAAAGTCCAGAAATTTTTTGCAACAAGTACCCAGTAAAAGACTTAGGAATGGTTGCATTTTAAACATTAACGGCGGAATGCTGCACACTGTTATAATTAGATTAAGATTTCACCTGTCATTGATTCCACTGTAACAGGGGAGTAATCCTTGGCTATCTTCTTCATGATTTCCATTTCTAAAATCAGAATAACGTGACATGATAAAAAAATAAGTTTTCAGTCATGAGTTATGTATTTTTGTTCACGCTTTTCCAAAGAAAACTCAAATTTGAATTTTATCAACGGGAGGTGGAGACTAGCGGAAGTCGTGTACGTGTTAAAAACATCGTCAGATTTTGGTGCTTTTTTAATCATAAGAACACGCATAGTAGAAAATATTTTACTTATTACTTTGTTCTTTAAAACTACGTTATCTAAGAAGTGAAATTCACGAATTGGACCCAGATCATTTTTCAAACATTTTAAAAATAAGCCTGTTCTCAGAAAATTTTTGAAAGTGATTTCTACAATACATCAAAAAAGGAAGAAATAAGCGACAAATCCCCAAGATCTCTTATTACTATCATTATAATCCCAATCTTCTGAACGAACTATCTTACGATTAAGTAAGCAACGCTTTTTTTTAGGCAGCAGCTGTTTGTAGCCTTTCAAAAAGGAAAATTTTCTTAGCAATAATACCTTTATCGCAACAAGAAATTGCAACCGTATCGAAAAGTTAGTCAAGTGGTTAGAACAATGAAAAATTGCTTTAGTTACATAACTTATATAAGAAACTTTTCGCGTGAAATACCTTCTGCTTTTGAATGACGAAGAATTACAAGGCAACCTGAAATTCATACGGCTTCTTATAAAAGTAAAATCAATAGGTTTCATAAATAAAAACAACAAAAGTCAAGCTTCCAAAAAATCTTTTTTTGTAGAAAACTAAAGGAACTTCACAGTTTTCAGGAATTGTTCTTAATGTTCTACTTAAAAGTTTTTCAACTTAGGTCATGTTAAGTAACAAAATACCAAAAAGATCTATAACATTGAATAAAACTTTTGCAGTTTGAGGTAATACAATCTGTAACTTTTTTCAAAGGTTATTGTTCTGTGCAAATTGTACTGAAAGCCCGCAGCGAGAAATTTTAAAAAACAAATTGAATTTTAAGCTTTTCACAGTTTTTGCTGCCCAATAATAATTACCTATTTTAATCAGCACCCAAATCAGGAAAGAAGCCTTCTGATTTCGCTTGTTTTTGAACTGAACTTTTTCATCATTTGTTCAAATGTATATTATACACTAGTAAATCTTGCTTTAGCAGCATTCTTAAGTTTTTTTAAAACATTTAGTTTTCAAGACAAAGCAAAGTTGTTTTTACACCAATCTTTTAACCCCATCCGGTATTCTGTCATTTATGTAATTCGTTATTAAGAAAAGTTGGAAAGAAGAGGAACCAAAGTTTATGACATTTCGAAGAAGGTTCTAAAAAAGAAATATCAAGAACTTTCGACGTTTTAGTACTATTGTGCGTAATGCAACACTAGTTGATCCTTATTGAGCGATTTTTAAATCGTATGAAAATATCAGATCGTACAAAAAAAACTAAAACTAATATTTAATTTTTTTTTTTGCATTTTGATCTTCCAGTTATTCTTAGTTTTCCTGCCAATATACTGTGAAGTTTTTACTGTACTTTTGTTAATTAAGATAAATCAACCTTAAATACGAAACTGCCAATAAAGTCACAAGATTTCTTTTTTCAAAACTGTCGCTGTTTAACTGATTGAACTTAGTAGTTTGTTTGTTATAGGAGAAACAAACCAAAAAGTAGTCGAATTAGAGCAACGAAGCTTCTTTGCCACAGCCGCATTGGGATAAAACAAAGGGGAATGGCGACTTTGGTAGAAATTTTGAAGTCCTCACCATTTTCAACAAAAATTGTTAATTAGTCTCAAGCGAAGTGCATTTTCATCCATTACTGGTGCATCATCTGTAACACTTGAACATTTTCGTTTAAAAACAAAAGCTTTTTGCCAAGCGAAAGGCATGACTTTAGCACCTGCTGCATAATCTTGAGCGAAACC